CGGCTTGGAACAGAACAATTTACTAGGCTAGACCCACAGTGCATTAATGTCACAGACACCAGGAATTTGCTTACTTAAGTCCACGATTAGAAAAGAACAGAAAGATCATGTACCATGGCAGTTAAAGTCACAAGTGCAGAGAGAGAAAAAGAATTGCTGGTTAGTGTCCATTAATTAGAAAACCTTGGCTAAACCCATCTTACTATACACACTTTGTGTAGAAAAAGAGTATTACACAGTGATCAGAAAAGGGTTTGGGAGGGGAGTTCACTCCTATCCCCTTCCCCAAGACACAATAACGCTGAATTAAAGAAACAGGCACAGAAGAGTGTAAGATTCCTTCACAGTTAAATCTGTGCAGGCTGTGAACCACAGCATCCACGTGTGCACACACGAGATACTCCCAAGCGATTTCAGCGCTGGTGAAAGGTGCCCAGGACGCAGCCATAGCAAAGGATTCCCTCTCTTGGCAGAGCGCGCTTACAGCAGGGCTGGCTGCCTACTGCCCAGAGGGCTTCACCGTATTACAGGGATAAAAACACACTCTCTTAAAGGGAAGCAGAGAGGCAGATAGCACGACCTGTGCCAATGGTGCTGTGGGGACCTGGCTCAAGAGTAATCCAGAGATCCACACCAGTAACAGAGCAGCTGCCAGAAACAGCAAATTTTGGTCATACTCTGAGGCAGCAGCCTGAATGCAAAAGGATGCATATTCCTGTCAGAGACTTCCAGCCACAAAGCCCCTTCTCTTAGGGGAACAGAACTTTGCTCTGTTTTAAAGAGAGCTTGATCCCAAGAGTGCTTCTTTCTTAATACAGTTTAAACACCGAACCACCAAGCCTGGCTCCAGGCCTTATACATGTATAAGGCAAACACACATAAGGGGAAAGCACATACACACACAAGCTAAATATGAGAAAACAGACGTCTGGGCACACAGCTCCCCAACAGCTCTCATATGGCAGGGTAGAGCTACCAAGTACAACTGAAGAGTAGAACCTGGGACCAGACTACTGTGTTTTTCTGAAAGAACAGAACATTTTTTTGTTTTATCCCTACAAAGGGCAGATTTGCAAGCTTTTGTAAGCAAGAGGAAACTGACTTAAATAGGTTTCCATGTTCAGCATGGTACAGGTCTTTCAAGTTTCTTCAGCAACAGATGTTGTAACAAGCACAGCTCAAACAGCTTTAAAAGCTACTTATGGACAGCCAGTTTTTAGAAACTGCTTCTCCTCAGCTTTTGGCATACCTGGAAACAGCTGACTCCCGAGGCTTTGTGTTAAATCCCCATCTAAAGAGTTCTTAAGAGTCCCCCAAAATTGTGCCTTATCAAGAGCTGTCCTCCAGCTTCAACCAGTAGCCCCCAGCACCCCTCATCCCACCTGCTACTTGCTCTTTCTAACTAGGGAACTTGAACAAGCAGAGCAAGGGGAGGATGGGAGCAGGAGGCACAGTGACTGAAGCTGTTGGCAGGAAGGTTTGAGGCAGGAGATTATCAGAGGAACAGCCAGCAAAGGCTGAAATCAGATCTACCTTCCTCCCCAAGATCCCCCCTCCAGGGGCATCCATTTCTTTTGCTGCTTTGAAGGCACCAATGACAGCCACAGAAGCAGGATGTATGCTGGACCTGACCTTGCTCTGCAAGCAAATTGCATCAAACCACCCTTTCACAGCCCGCACATCCCCCCGTAGCTACTCAGCAGGGGCGGCAAAGTCTCCCCTCCGCAGACTGCGGGCAGGTAGCTGCAAGCAGAATCCCCCCCTCCCCAGAGTGGCTTGGTCAGGGACTGCTATGCCATGGGGGCAGCACTGAAGTGCTTACATTTGGCTGCTGCCTGCTCTGCTCCCATGAGCAGGACCAGAGCAAGAGAGCAAGGCACCCCACAAGCTTGTGCAGGGATGGTTGCAGCTGCTTGACAATGAGGGGCTGCCTAGCAGTTGTGTTAACCTTTTCTCAGCCCTGGTTGCGGGACTGGCAAGGTATTAAGGGTCTAATACCTACCCCTACGCTCCTAGAAGCTGCAAGAAATCCTCATTTTCCAGTCTTAGCAATGAAAGAAAAAGTCAGCCTTTGTAGAAACCCACAGCCATTTCCATCTGCCCTGAAACAGCTGAAAATCTTCGTTGCTTCTGGCATAAGCATGGTTTTAGGTTTATGGTGTAACAAATCTGAGAGTAAAAGCACAAAGTCTTTAAACAGTCTGTGCAACACACTTGAGAGCCAAAGGGAAAACAGCAACATGGAAGAGAGGAGTGGAGCAACACCACCCTCGCCTAGGCCACGAGGCACCTTCGCCCTATCACACAGTTCAGCCCGTAGCGAGGATACCCAGCTACCACTGGGCAAGGTTCTCCTCCGAGGGAGGCACTGTCAGCTTCACTTCAAACAGGGTTTTCTTAGAAACTACTCTGTTTCTAAAAATCACTTCCCAGTCAGGCACAAGCATACAGGCTGGGAGAGGGGAGGGAGAAGTATGTGGAAGGAGATAGTGGAGGATAGGAGAGGTATCTGGAGGGAAACAGCCTGTGCTTGGCTGGCAAACCTTTCAAGCCTTATTTACGCTCAGCTCTTGGCAAGCTCTGCAGAAGTAAGGACTGTGGGATTTAGATCAGAGCTTCATTCCTTGTGACTTGATTCTTACTCACTAGCTGGCTATAAGCAAAGTTAAACAAGCCAGTCTGCTCTTGCCGTTCAATACTTTCTATGAAGAGCCTGAATTCCTGTAGCATCTTCCATCTTTGGATCTCAAAGCACTTTAGAAAAGTTGAGTTTAGCCTCAGAACACCCCAGTGAGGTAGGTATCATCATGGTCCCCTGATCTTGCATTAGGATGGGAAACAAGCTCCAAAACAAACAGAGTCCCAGAGAAATAAAATGACATGAGAAAAAATACCCATGAGTCCCAAATCTCCTTTTACTCTGTTCTCACCACTAAACAAGTTGCTTCTCTTTCCAGTCTCAGAAAAGTGCAAAGAAAGTAAACGGACTGAGAGGTGATGTTCTCCACTTCAGATTTTACCAGGCAAAGTGTTTGCTCTAATGCGGGGAAGAGCATTTAACGAAAGAAATGGTCCCTGTTGAGAAGAGTCCTTTTCAATGACAGGCAGAAACAGCGCTCTGACCCACAGCAAAGCAATTAGGAAGCAGATCCAGAACGAGCACACACTGCTTCCGTCTGGTTCTCCAGGGGTTTAAGGATTTAATGCAATTAAAGACTAAGATGCGAGTTTCCTGAGCAGAGACTGTCAGACAACAACCCCTCCCCCACGGGGGGAGGGGAAAGGAAAGGGGCAGGAAATCCTGGGAAAAAAGGTTTTTACCGAGGTGCTTGAAACAAGGTGCTCTGGCGCTCGCGCGCGCACACACCCCCCCCCACACACGGCACACCCAAGCCCCCGGCAAGGTGGTTCTTGTTCTGGCTTCTCACAGATGAGCCAATTCAGCCACAGGCAGCAGCCTGAACACAGGCGTAAGTGCTCCAGAGTCTCCCAAGCTACTCCCAGGCTCTCCCATCCTTGCTGGTTATGCACATCATAAAAGCCAAATACATACGATCTTTATGAGATCTAAGTGTGAGATACTATAAGCCCCCTCTGCTTTTTAAGGAGAGGATATAAAATGATCTGGTATTTTTAAAAATTAAAATCCTGCAAAGGGCACAATCAATAAAAAAAATCCCCATACAGACTACCAGGAATTTTGACCTAGAAAAAACCCCAAATATAAGTTTACAGCAGTGAAACTCTACCTACTTCCCACCCTGCAAGGGATGCAGGCCTGATCCTGGATCCTGTTGTGCACCTCACCATCTAGTTCCTTCACAACCATTTCTGGCACATTACACTGAGAGGACTGGATCCCGGTGAACATTACGCATTTGGAAGAAAGCGTCCATCAGCAGGAAGAGTTCAGGATGCCGCAGATGACATGTCGCTGGAGAACCACTGCTTTGGACCCTCGCTCACCAGGGTGCTCAGGCAGCAGGTAGCTCCTTTGATCCCAGCAGGACTGTCTGTAGGTGTTGTTGGACATACACCTCCTTCTCAGCAACTGCTGTCACAGCCAGAAGACGTTGAACTCCCCTGACCTGTTCTGAGCACCCCGGCCTATGGTAACTGCTCCCTCCCACCTGCCTGTGGCAGGCACTGCCCAGCTCGGCTCAGCTACGCCATGCAGGACCAGCAGATTCCTGCTCTCCGCGCTTAGCTGGGCTGCCTTGTGCTGGTGGGAAGCAGCATGGCGGGCTGATGAAGCAGTCAAGGCTGGGCTGGGGGAGGCCAAAGAGGACAGCAGGGGCTGCTGCTGCTGACCCATCAAAGAAAATGCACCCTCATAGAGAAGGGCACATGTTTATATACCTTGTGAACCTGGGCCTTCTGTGATGAGATGCACCTGCATGGAAGGCAGGTCAGCTCCTGCTAAATATAGGTATTTGCATGGTAAAAGATTGGGCAGAACAAATTGAGCTTTTCCATTCATGCATATGGATCCATCACCACAGAGGCAGGGGGGCTCCAGGAAGGCTCTAGCAGAAGGTCTGGTCACTGCTGGGCTCAGGAGTTACCAGCACTTAGATTTCAGTACACTGATTTAGGCTCCTCTTTAAAAGCAAACCTTTCAAAGCCCCACGAGAAACAAAAGTGTCAGATGCAAAAGCTGCACTAATGGGCAAAGAAGGTCTTAAAAACAAAACTGCAATTTTAAGAGCTATGCATCTCTCTCAAGAGCAGAGAAAGAGCAGGCTACTCGTCACTGAGCACTGAGGTGAGACTCCCATGGGAGAGAAAGGCCAAGAAAGGCAGGCAGATTTTCAACATTCAGATTTAGTTTGGTATTTCTTAGCTACAGCCAAAAGTGTATGGCAAGGAAGGACATATTGTGGTGTTTCCAGCACACAGGAGTTCTTCAAAGCAAGTGCACACAGCAGAGGTCAGCCCTTTCCCTGCTCCTCTCCTCAAGGCGGGAAGTGCTTTTGCCCTTCTTTTCTCCGCTCTGTAGAGAACGAGAGGTGCCTTCCTGCATGCACTCCCCTTCCTCTCAAAGAGGCTGTCAGACGTAGGGAGGGTCTGTGATTTATCTAAGGAGCTAGCTACTTATCTACTCCGTCCCAGTGCAAATACGCAGCCCCTGCAGGTGTGAAAGGAAGAAGTGGTAAGGCAGACCCCGAGGGGACCGTGGCTAGAGAAACACGTTTGGAAAGCCAGACGGAAGGGGACAGAAATGGGCAGCTTTGGGAGCGTCTGACAAAGGGGGCAAGTGTTAGAGATGAAACAGTGGAGAGAACAAGGGAGTTGTGTCATGCAAAATAAAGATGTTTCACTAACAAGCACTGGTAAAAATTTGAACAGCTGCAAGATGGGCTGATCCAGTGCAAGACAAGCAGCTTCACAGAGACAACAGGCAGCAAAACCACCCCACTACGTTCATACAGGTCCAGTGCTAATACAAGAAGGGACAAGGGGAAGAGGAAAAATAATAATAAAAAAAAAAACCCCTTCAGCCTCAAGGTTATGTGGTTCAGAGAGGAACCTCTCTCACATGCACCCTTCAAACCCCCTCTCCTTCCTAAATGAAAAAGAACTGTGCATTACCCTTGTACCACGCTGACTTCTCTACTGGAGAGGTGAGCAATGTATTCTCAGAAATAGCTACAGGTAGTAAAAGCAGGGCCACAAAAGTGCATGCACACACACAGTGTAAGGCAGCGTTCCAACAAAAATACAGGCATTGCAATTTTGCAGAGAAAGAGAGAGCATGAGATTTACAATATGCCAAGGGAAAAAGGAAAAAAAAAAGAAAAAAGAAAAAGCTGTTCTGTCTCCAAAACTGAGCTAACCGAGCCAAGTCACCCTGTCGCCTCTTAAGATATTCCTTTCTAGATAAGATAACCCAAATCCACCCACCCTCCCCTTTCCAAATAAAGTGCAGATGGTCAAATATTACTGGTCCATCATCTGCCAGTTTCAGTCAGCATTGGGGAAATTAAACCCAAAAGCACAATATTGAAAAAAAAAAATCCCCAAACAACCCACCCTCAAAACCCCTTAAACTGAAGTCTCGGACTGTAAGCGAAGGACGAATTTATGAGATTTAGGGTCTATGAATTCTTCTGAGAGTTTGATGAAGGGGATTTTCTTCACATTAACAACAAGGCTGAAGTCCAAGCACTTGAGGACAAAAACAATTCCGTCTTGTAACCCACTTGTGACCGCTTCCTCGCTAATGAGCGTCCACTGCTTGGAAAACCAGCGATCCCTGTCGTATTGGAGGGTTGGGCCTGGATTGAGGTAACGCTCCAGGAATGCCTAGTGAGAGAACGAACACATTAACGCCTAGGGAACAACAGTCCCATGACTCTTGACTGCTTCGATGCTCTCTTTCAATTTCTAGCTACAGCTATGTGAGCACTGACGTGCCATGCTGGAAATTATTTCAGCTCCTGTGCTTCAGGAGATACCCTTTCCCCCTTTCCCTCCTAACATTTCAGACCCCAAGATCAAACAGAAAATAGCTAGAGATCCTCTTTTGTTCCATCCCAGGCAACTTTGTCACAGCCCTGACTTTCACTTTCAACATTGCCCTCCAAGTAGGACTTTGGAAAGAGCAGCAGTTCTGCAGAGCAGACACCTCTTTAACCCCCCCACCTAATCCCAACACTGCAGTGCAAGACAGGCAGACGGCACAGTTGGCCTTCCCTCCCTCTGTCGAAAAAGAGGTGGAAAGTGGAGGTTTTCCTTCTTTGCAGCCTGACCAGCCTTGACAAGAACAGAACAGGAAGCATTGTTTGATGTCTCTTGTCTCTTACTGTTTACAGAAATGGCCCTTGCAAACCAGGGCAGATTCCTGGACAGATTCCAGTAAAGGAGTGCTAATCCATGTCTTGTCACAGCGTCTCTGCTCTTCTTATAGGAAGTCCTAGGTACAAGGGTAAATCCCTGCTTTTCTGCCATTGGGTTGCATTCTCCAGGATGGTGGGTGTGGTATTGTGTGGGGTGGTTTTTTTCGTTGGTTGGTTTGGTTTTTTTTTAAACCTAGGCTGTTTATAAGGCCGATTTCCCTCATCATTCAGTCCCTCTCAGTGTCTGCAGTTCAACAGTCACAGTCAGAGCATGAAGCAAGGAGCAGATACTTGACTAAGCAACCCACAAGTCAGAAACACTGTCAAATAGACAGGGGTTTAGGCCAGGAGAGAGATACTAATGCTATAATTAGCAGCAGTTCAAAAGGCAGCACTGCAGAGGGAAAAAAAGTAATCCTTTGCAAGCTGCCCTCTACACCACACTCCTCCGTGAACCGGGCCTGGAGAATTCCCTGAGACTCAAGGCCACTGCTTTGGATACTTCTTTCATACTCCTGGGCTGAACTGGATGTGAGAACACGTAGCTAGCTACCTCACAGGTAATTTCAGTCAAAAAAGACAGAAAGTGTTTTAGAGGAAACATCACCTTCCTTTAAGAATTGAAGCAATCTACAGTGCATTGATCATATCACAGACAACAACCCCAAAAATCTCCACTTGCCGCCCTCCCCCCCCATGATTCTCTCTGCTCTGCGTGCATGCACAGATGTGCTGTCCCTTCCTCCCTCCCTCCTGCACCATTAGAGAAAGTATTACCTTTGGTGTCATGTTATTGGTGATGCAGAAGGACAAGTGTTGCAAGATGCTCTCCATGCTGTGGTACTGTTGCTGACGGGTGGTGCGGAGGTACTTCTGCAGAGCTCTTGCCATGGAAGGGAAGATTGCCTGAGCTGCTTCTCGGGGGTCCATCATCTCTCCTGGAGCTTTCTGCTGTTCCTCTGCCTGGAGACGTTTGATATGAGTGAAAGCCTCCTCTACTGCAACCACAAGCCTACAGAAAAAAACAAATCAGGGCAGCAAGAGTCACAAGAGAGTTAGGATGGGTCTGTGGTTAAGGCAGAACCTGGGAGGCAGGATTTACAAGCTCCTATTCCCATCTCTGCCACTGACTCACTGTCTACCATCAGACAAGTTATTTACTCCTTTCTACCGACAGTCTCAGAGAGGTAGACCGAAGCTTTCCTTTTCTTGCCAAGCCATCCAGCAACTGAGGGTCATAAACCAGGACTAAGACTTTAAAAGCCCCAGGCTTGCGCTTGGTTCTGCCAACACAGCATAAACATCAGCTACATGACTTGAACAAGACACAGCTGCTGTCATGCTTAACGTGTACATATGAAAACAGTTCCAGCATAAAGTGCTTTAGCTTGAACCATAAGGGCAGGCAGGCAGGAAGAGGCTGGCTATAGATAGATGACCCAGGACACAGAGCGCTCTACAGGCTCTCTGTGCTCACAAGCCGCAGTCTGCTCCGATTTACATCAACTAGGTACAGACCTTGTGCTCCCGGATGGCTGCCCTGTATCCTTCCACTGAACAGTGACCGGGTTCCCCTGTCTTCACTCCTAACACTGCAGTCAAAGACATCCTCTGCAAACCATTCCTGAGTTGGTGCAGGTGAGCAAACACCAAGACCACACCATAAAAAGGCAAACAGATGCCTTTGCAAGTTAGCCTAGCAGAATTTAACAAGCGAGGTGCTACATTACAGCTAACGGGAAAAAGCAGTAATGATGGAAGAGCCACCTGACAAAACTCTTTTGCCCCTCTGGACAGGCTTGTTTCACATTGCATTTCCATTCAAGTATCATTTTCTACGCTGCCCTCAATACTCAGTTGATCTTAAAGCCAGGAGATGCTGCCTCGTGACAAGCAGAGGTACACGATAACGTACTCAGACTATGCAAGGAGCAGTAGAAGAAACCCCAGTCTTCTAGTGACTGAGGGTTTTCCTCTGACCAAGCAATGGCTCTAACCAAACTTACTAGGTAAGGGAGATGTTCCCAAGTTAGTCAGGAGGCTAAACTGCACGGAAGGGAAAAATCCAAGTTCCTCTCACTCTGCGGCTGGAAGAGAGCCTGGAAGACAACAGCTATGGAGCATGGGTCAGACTGAATCAGTCTATAGGGACACCGTGTGCCAGCACTTTCCCAATAAAATATCAACTGCCAAAAGAAAACACAAAACAAGCCAGCTCCTTCCAGTTACGGCACATTCCTTCCAAACATAGCTCAGTTCAGGGGTGCCTATCTGTAAGCAACTTGCCTCAAACTGTTAGGTATGCTAACTGCAAACTATAATTAGGCTCCAGAGCAAATAGAGGCACTAACTCTCTGGGGTCGCTTCAACAAAGCAGTAACTCTACAGCCTAAGCGTGGCTGGAAAAAAACATACCTATTTTCCAAAAGAAAATGCTGCCAGGCTTGGTCACATCTTTCCTTTCTCACTGCCTTCCCAACCCATTTAAAAGGATAGTCAAACTGCCCTTTCTAGGCTAGCTGCTTGCAAACACAAGAATTCTTTACTCCTCCATGAATAGGCAATATTGAGCGCTCCACAATTCTGTCTCTTAAGCTGAAATGACAAGCCTGAGCACAGGGGAAATAACAAGATTTCCTACACCAAGTAACTACAGATTTGTCAAGCACTGGACTGTTCCCTAATCTGTGACATTGCATTAGCTTATCAGGCATAACACACATGAGCTCTACTTGAGTATTTTCTTCAGACAATTCCAGTGGCAAGCTGTCACTGTCCCTCGTGCATCTGGGTTTCATATGCTTCTTTTCTGTGACAGATTTACAATCACCCTTAATCAAAAATTCTTCTCTCTCATCAGGCTCAGCAAGCCCAGTATGGCTGAGCCTCTAACAGTTCAGGCACAGGCTGAGCAGCACCTAGGAACCCCAGGAAGGGACTGCTTTACCTTGCACGACGTTTTTTAACTCGGCGCTCGTGGTCGGCCTCTTCGTAGTACAGCTCGTTGTGACTGGAGTCCCTGCGACGGGCAGCAGCTGCAATCAGGGCACGGGACTGCCCAGAAGCATTGTTACCTGGGCCTTCAGGAGGAGAGGACAAACAAAAAGATGCAAAAGAAGACACAAGAAGGTGACCTTACTATCACAGAACTGGACCTGAGAAGGACTAGCACCCAGCAGCATTTGTCACAAGTGCCCTGTGGTTGCAGACCAGGCTGTGCCCTACCAGGAAGGGCTATACAACTCTTCCCCACTCCTCATGGGCTCTAGCAAAAACCCCGTTGGAAAACCAAGCGCAGGCTTGGAGAGGAGGTTTTCCTCCCTGCTCCAAGCATGGCAGTGGAAGAGGGAAGCTAGTTGGGATGAAGGATCTCACACAAAGTAGACAACGGAAGAGGCAAGATGCACATGCCAAGGATGCAACTTACCATCCATTATGTATGTTTTCAGTTTGGCAGCAAGGGCAGCTGGAACACACCACATTGCAGCAACAAGACAGTGTGAGAGCACAAGAAGTGAGGAGTTGCAAAGGGGAGAAAAAGATAGACAGAAAAACAAGAACAACAAGAGACATGGAGATGAATGAATAAAAGCCAAACTCCAGACAGAGGGATGAAATACAACACTGCACCAGGATGCAAAGGCAGCGGCATCACATTTAGACAAAGTACAGACTTTTTTCAGAAGGGCACATGCTGTCAGAGCAGCAGTTCTGCAACAGGTTAGGCTGGAGTCTATGTACATAGTAGCTCCCCATGGCACTCGGAGCAGCATCGGCTGCTAGAGGTGGTACTGCTGTTAACAGATCCCACATAGCTGCAAGAAGAGGAAAGTTGAAATCTATCTGTAACACAGGGACAACTGACAGTAGTCTGTAGTTCAGGGGTGCCTATCTGTAGTAGTTGTCTACTACAGGATCTTACCTAGTGACACTAAAATGCAGGAAAGCTTCTGCAATTCCCCCATGAAGCTCATAGCACTGGCTGTTTGGGGAGGGGCAGGGGGTAGGGAGGAAAAATAATGTTGTTGCTGTAGAATCTACCAAATCCAGATGCGAAAAGGGGAAATCTAAGACACCCTCCAAACTACGTTTTTCAAGAGCTGCTTTTCTGACCAACTGCTCTGAGATTCCACACTCTTAACTGGCAGGGATTAAGGCAAATCAATTGCATAGATGTGCTCAAAATTAATCTGCTCCTGCAAGAGCAACTTTTTATTTTTTTCCTAAAAAGTATAAACCAGATTCCAAGATAGAAGCTTGAAATTTTATGAAGGGATGCAGTAGCATTCAAACAGACAGGTTCTTAAGAGTCTAAACATTTTAGATGCTGTTTGACAACCTTGAAATGGAGGATATGGCTCAAGGGAGATACCAGCTCCCAAATTTGGGTTAGAATTATTATATGCCTCATTGACTATGCCTGGTGATGAAAATCTAGATTTTGAAGGTGAACCTACCCACTCCACATAACAGATTTCAGCAAAATGTTTTTTTCCTTCCTGGCTGCTGCAACATCAAATACATAAGCTGCCAACAAATTAGGCTGCCTTAATAGTATTACAGTCTTTTCACACGGAGGGTGTAAAAGACTGTCAGGATGCCAAGGTTAAGTCCTAGCCAGAACTACATTCTGCTTTGTAAAATGCGTTGGAATCCTTTTAAAGGATACACCTCTAAGCCTGAGATATCCATGGTCTTAAAGGCAAAAGCATTGCACAAGGAGCAGCCCAGGAAACCTGTACCACTCCAGAATGGGAGGCACTAGTTTTCAGGCCCTGGGAGGCTCATGGGTTTGACACTTAAAAGGGCTATGTGCCAGCTCCCTAAGCTTTGCTTCTGGCTTCTTCAATTCCAACAAAACTTTGTGAACTAGCTGCTCCTAAGCTACTAATGCTAGTGGATTGGCAATTTTTCCTCAAAGCTTGGGAGTTCCAACTTTTCACTGGGATACCACAGCAGCTGCTGCAGGAACAGACACCTTGCCACCTCTTAAGGAGATGCTGCGTGGCAGGAGAAGAGAAGCAAGACAATAATCAGAATGGCACGTTCCGCAGCAAGCCTGGCAGGCTATTTGGTTTCAATGGCACATGGACACCTGCGGGATTTGGAAGTCCTCACTTTCCATACACCAGGTCTAGTTGAGAATGAGCAACTGGAATGAAAGATTTCCATTCCTGTTAAAGCAACTTCATTTCCCTCCCATAAACTTTGCTCTAAAAAGGAGCAGACCAAGTCAGTTTACATCCTCTTTCCAACTCGACTCATTCTTTCTCACCTGTGAGTTTCTTCACTGCAGGCAGAAGGGGAACCAGGGCGAGAAAGCCTGCCTGCCCCTCTCCCGTTCCCCTGCTTTCCTTCGCCTTCCACTCTCAGAAATGGGCATTCTCACTGTAAGGATCTAAGCCCGCACATAAATTTTGCAGGCTCAGCAGTGTTGCTTGAGGTTTGGAGAAAGATTTAAAATAAGGCCTTTGAAACACCTGAAGTTCCCCAAAGTGCAGAAAAGCATACGTTGCTGAAACCTTGTTGCAGGCAAAGAAGAAAAACCCTGGGACATGAGATTCTACTTGACAGATATTCTTCATATTTCAGTCTCCACATCCTGCACACAGAGCCACACTGCCCTTCTAAGTCCCTTATGCCCCTTCTTCCTTCCTGCTCTCAACGTCTGTCAAAACTAACTCATCCATGTGCAGGACTGCTGTACAAGATGACCCTCAGCACACCTTGGCACAAGATTTCAGCCACACTGAACTAGTATGTAACTAGTAAGCTATGTAACTGAAGCTCTCCCATCAAAGGCATGCCCATTTTTTATAGAGGCTGTGATGGCTGGGCACATCCTGCTGATCAAGCCTAGTTTTTACTGATAGAGTTCAGGAGCGTCAAACAATTAAATCTGGTTTTCCTTGCTATGATAATCCACACGGATCCACCCAGCCATCCTCCCACACACCTCTTTAAAGCCCAAAAGCCTGAAACAGGTTTGCAGAACGTTAAAAGCTCCGTGGGGATAGATATCTGTCTTTGCGTTTGCCCATGAAGCACTTAGCGTCATGACGATTTGGAAGCATGGCCAAGCATAAGCCAGGCGTAACTAATTTACTGCTAAGGCTACAGGCTGATGAACATTTTACGTTGGCAACAGCTGCCTAAACACTTGCTTGTCCCTACACTGGTACCAACCTCCTCAATTTCCCTGAAGGCTGCCTATGGAAGCAGTGCAGTAAACTGGACTGGGGAACTGATCTGGGTTAAAAGTTACGCTTAACATACCAACACAACCAAGGGGATGACTGGAGGGTGACAAAGCAGAAGCTGCTTAAAACGACCAGTAGTGCTGAAAGAAGCCTTTGTCAAAGCACACAATAATTAAGCCTGACCTAAAGTTTGGCTGTTTCACCTGGCTAAGACAAAAGCCTTGTTGTGGGCTAAACACAGCTGTAAAGTCACCTGGAACCATCAAATTCAGCGCTGTCAGGAAGATTTCCAGCAAGAGACAAGGATTTGGCAAAGCAAGAAGGTGAGAACGTGTGCATAACAAAGCTTAACACCGACCCAGCCCTTCCCCATCCCACCCAGTCTCAGAGACTGCATTTCACCTCACCTACCATCAACATTGTAGACTTTCAGGCCAGCCATGTGCTTGGCTGCACGGGATTTGGAGGCTGTTAACAAGGCTGGATTGTAGACTGTGAAATCTTTGTAGTAATTTTCCAGAACGACCAGTGCAGCCCGCTGGATGCTAGGGAAGGGGGGGGGGGAGGAAAAAACAAACAAACAAGACTAAAGCCCGAAAAATGACATGAGGTCTTTTGTTTCCTTTTAAAAAAAGTTTTATAGAAGAAGAAATAGCCGCATTGTTTGGAATGTGGTTGCTACTCCCATGAAATTGTGCAATACTCACAATCCATTACTAACTATGGGGGCTCTCTAGGATCTCAAGTTTCATTTTGGAGATGTAAGAGGAATGTTTCTCCCTTCACCTCAGTTTGAAGGTAAAACAAGAGCAGGGCATAAACGGAAGTTTTAGGCTACCTGCCGCTTGGGAAAACACAGAACAAGAGCTCAGTCCATCTCAGCAGCACGATAACTGTGACGCAAAGGCCTTGCCTAGGCTGAAAAGCAGAGCACCACGCTGGTTTTGCTGTGGTTGGCCAGCCCAGATGGAGGGACCAGCTCGGTATGGATGCTTTACCCTTTGAGTCATTTCCAGCCGCACCTTGCAGTCCCTCAGATCTCCTCCATCCAAGCACTGACAAGAGCCCAATCTTTTCAGCTTTCACAGCAAGATAAGATCACTGCCTCAGATAGCTGCCTAGGAATGAATTACCTCAGGATTTCTTGTTAAATCCCAGGTGAAGGGCCAAATAAAGAATAGTGTCACTTCCTCCCTCCCTTTGAAGGGAGGCCTCTACATAAAAAGATGACACACGGGAGCAAAACATAACACGCGTGCACCATGAGCAGGAAAAGCTCAACCCAGAGGTCCTTTGCAATCATTTTGACAACTAAGAGAGAGAGAGAGATGTCACTAGGCACTGCTACCAACACATGGTAGGAGAGTATTTCAAAATAATATAAAGCTATAGAGAAAAAAACCACCAACAACAACCACCAGAAAACACCACTTGATTTAGGACATAGCTCTCGTCACATTGCTCTGGCTCCATGCCCCAAAACAGCGTTCAGCTGGCAGTAGCAGTCTTAAGACAGCAAGTCACCAATTTGGTGGAATTTGCCAAGAACTCACAGTTAATTTCACTTTGAACCCACAAAAATTATAAGAGAACTGCCAGCGCATTTGTTGCCAGTTAATTGTAAAGTTCACACTCGCCAACAAAGCCTCTCACAAGAAAAGCAACCAAGTATTGTTGCACATGTTATAACATAGGGAAAAAAACATTAGAAGGATGGTAACATGGGAAAACAGATTGGAACAAATTAAGACCTAAATGCGATTCTCAGCATTGCCACCAATTCAGCGCACGCTCTCAGGGGAGCAATTTAATTTTCCTGTGCCTAATGCTAATATTAACTTCTGTATCACACCCCAGTAATACACACACACACACACACACACACACACACACACATATCCTGCACCATCCTTACTCTCCAGGTACCCCTCTCCTGCTGATCCGTGAATTAAGTCTAGATCCCAGCCCATCTACTAGCTTCTGGGAAATAACAGGCCAAGACTTGTTCATGCTGTATCTTTATTCAGTATTATGGTACATCTCCGTTTCTTTCATTAGCTGAGTACCTTTATGATGACGAATTTAGCTTTTATAGCAAATTCTATCTTTAGGACAGTTTGACGGGGTCTTTTGCAACCAGCCGGAGCATTTGAAAGGAGCTTCACCTTTCAGGGGCCTGTGCTTAATACTTCCTCATATCAGGTTCCTTAAAAGCGATTTCATTTGAGCACTCCGCTATCGATATGTAATAAATAGTTACTATTTAATCAAGGTAATTATTTTCCTTTGACAAAGAAGTACAGACTGACCCACATATACACACTAACTGAGAACAAGTGAAAACTCGTTTATTCCTGCCTGCTAAACTTCTGATTTCTACTGTGAATTTACCGTAGTTTAAAAACAAAGTTTCATAAAAGAAGTCATGTGGCAGCAGCATACATTCTCCCCTCCTGACTGTGTTCGAACATGACTCAAGTTTTTCCATGTCAGCTTTCCAGGAAGAAAAGTGAAACTTCACAGAATTTCATCTCAAAAGGCAAACAGACTTGGAAAACTAGGTGCAACTGAGAAGAAAAAGACAAAAGTAAAAAAAAGTTACACTCTGGTTGCGCTGCAGTCAGTTCATACAGCGTTAGGACTTACAATCGCAGCAGCAGAAAAGGTTTGGGAGGTGCTCCGTTGACTGACCAGCTCCATTAGGACAAAGCACAATGCATCCCAGGGGAGAATAATTCTTTTTAAAGCACAGATATTTTCCCTGGACCCCACAGAGAATGTTATCATCAGGATGCCAACTTTCCCCACCTCCTACCCCTTCCATTCCCTTACTAACCTATCAGCCTACCTTCATTGGCCTGCGTGCACATACGCACACGCGCACACGCACACACACACAAATACAATTAAATCTTTACCTTGCAATAAGTGGCCATCACTTCCCTGAAAGTTAAAGCCCAGTTATTTTATACTGATGCAATATCAGTACAGGCTCAGTCTCACATGCTCAGGACACCCCACCTGTACAGAGGGCCTGCTCTCCAGAGATGCAATTTTAATAAAACAATGTCGTTTCCTAAATTTCTGTAAGCCAACGTCTGGCTCCCATGTAGTCCACTGTACGCATGTGGAGTTAGGAAGACAGCTGGACTGAGCCTCTTCTCTTTAAAAAAAGAAAAATTAAAGACAAGATGCCACGGATGGGAAAATTAGAAGGGTCACAATAATTGGCAGAGCGAGGGGAAGGCTGAATCAGAGCCTCTGGGGCCTGTTGCTCAACCTTTTCACCCACATCAAGGGGAAGCCTCACCCTGTACAGCGCAGAACAGCCAGTCCTGCTACATGCTGGAGCCGCAAAGCGGCAAGAACCCCCTGCCCCAACCAGACGCAGTCGTCTCCGGTGCAGCAGAAAGGGGCCCTGCCAGCGACTCAATGCTTTTGTGCAACAGAAGCTCAGCTTGGACGCCAGGTTCTTTGGGACTTTCCACTGCAGACCAGCCCCGCGGCTGCTTTTGCAAATCGAAAGCCAAGTGGCTGCAGCAAGCCTTTCCTCCGCCCACGCACCAACGCCAACTGGAATGGAAACTGGCAGCATTCCTGAAGCCCGCATTCGGAGGCTTTTTCCTTGCAGAAGTGTCTCAGGAGGAGTTCAGCATCATGTCGTTCACTGTATTTGTTCACTTCACACTCCAGCATATTAAGGCTTTCCTTGTATTTGCAATTTTAAAAGAATGGGGAGGGGCAGGAGGAAAAAAGAACAGAAAGTTTCAATGCTTTATTGTCTGTTCAGAGACGGTCAAAGCAAGGATCTTCTGTAAGTCCTGCAAAGAGCAACTGCCAGTCCAATATATTTGGGTCACAGGAACAAAAATGCCAGAGCAGTTTACACTCTAAAAACCTGTGACATGAGAAAGAACCACTTGCCTGGGCCAGTGGCCCAGTGGAATCTGAATTCTCCTTGTACAAAGTACTGGTTAGGGCCTACATTCTGTTAGTTTGTATTCTGCGTCATTTCAGGGTTTTTCCCTCCCTTTCTTTTTATTCTTAGAAGGCCATGTCACAGCATGCTGCCAGCAGGGAAAGCAAACAAGCAGATCCGACAGAAGCAGCGTACCAGCGTACCTAAGTGGCATTTGGCAGCAGAGAAACACAAAGTCCTTTACAAACAGTAATGAATTAACTTCTATAAGGTCTCCAGCGAAGTGGAGGAGGGGACTAAGTGACACAAAGGCAGCAACTACTGCCATTTTTTTTCCCCCTATCGAAAGGTAAGTCATGGAACAGTTCTGCTTGAATAGTTGTTGTTCCATGGCATTTTGGTTTTTAAGGTCTTGTGTCACTCTGTGGCTCAGATGCCCTTTTGGCTTCCCATTTGCAGCCAGGGACATAGCTACACCATTACTGAAACTGGCTTGTTAGAGGATTTCCAGGAAAATAAGCCATTGATATAACAAAGCAAAGCACAAAGAAAGAAGCCTAATTTACACCATCAAAATATTGGCACTGGGACCCTGCAGGTTTGCAGGAAAAATGGTTTGGGGTCTTCTGAAGTGTTGAGATGGGGGGAAGGGGAGAGAGGAGAGACAGAAAGGAAAAAGAATAAGAGATAGAAGTCACACTTGCATGCCCAAAGTTGCCATTTGACACACTAACACCAAATTCAGCAGGCTCCAACAGCTGTCACTCACATGATTTTAGCAGTGTCATGCTTTGCTGCCGAGCTAAAAACATAGCCTATTATGGCACTATAACCTCAGCCAGACACTGCTACCCACTGAAAACAAAGGAGTGCCTGAAGTATTTGCAACAGATACAGATCTAAATACACATCCAGAAAGAGCTAAGCTGTTTGCTACTGAAGTATCCACTTCCTAACCGTGCTGTGGAGGTAAGTCCTGCAGCATCAGAGTTTTGGGTGAGCCAAGCATCTAAAATCCACAAGGCTAGTCAGAGAGGCCTGATCACTGCTGTGCTAATTGAGGGCTGAGGGCAGAGTAAGCCTAAGGTTATTTAATCAAATGGTTCCCAACACACAGTCATCTGCTCCAAACAACATTTTCCAAGTGCTCCAAAACAGACAGAGCATCAAAACAAACTGAGGTCTCTGGGCACGCTAAACGCATGCCACAACCAGTTGGGAAGCTTCAGTACCTCAAAGAGGAGCTGAGCAAGAATAGCACAAAGTACTCTCCCTGACAGAGCCAGCTTTGAACTTCAGGCTGTCTCCAGCCTGCAATTGCATCAAGATCATCTGCTGTAGGAGATGCTCAGGCATCCTGGAACAGTGCCCTACTCATCCACAGCACTTCTTATGCTCTAGTAGTTCTGTCAGCTCATACCCAATAGGCTTAGATGCTCAGAAAGCTCCTACAGCTTCCCAGACCTACCCTATAAGCGCATCTCCTTTCCAAGAGACCCCTTTCATCCACATACTCTTTCGGAAGGCATGGAGTTGGGGTTTAAAGGTACTTGGTCCCTCACTACTCAGCTGCTCTTCCAGAGCACTCAAAGACACCAGGATCAAAGGCTCAGAAATAAAACTGGA